TTCCTATTGTTTCCAAAATGCACCTGTACACAAGTTTGTGTACAGATTCTACTTTTAAGTGTTGCTAAACTCTTATCTTTGCATAAACATATTTAATCCACTATGCCATGTATATAAATGAACCATTTTTAGATCTAGTTTCTTTCTTCCTGGCGGTCCGTGTTTAGTGCTTGCATCAATGCTGTTGCTTTTTAAATGGAGCTCTGCTGCGACTTTGAATAGTTTCCATTAAAGCAATGTGGATGTGCAGTGGTGGCCAGAGCCTGTTGGCACTGTGACAACTTTCATGCCTTCATCAAAGGTAGCTGAGCTTGGAAGTGTGAGCAGAGCTCAGGGGTGAACAGGCCTCCTGCCAGGTAACTCCACCTCAGAGCCCAGGCAGCAAGCTTTGTAAAGACTTGAAAACAAAGGTCCTAATCAGGCGTTGTGTGGAAGGCCCTGAGCAGCTTCACCTCTACACTGCCACGCATTAAATCCTTAGTGGTCAGCTTGAATCTGATAGGTTCCAATATGCCAAGGTTAGGGATTGGCTTTACATAAAGTCACAAAAAAACTGAATTTTCTTCAGATTTAGTCCAACTTTATACTTAAATATTTTGGACACCAGGATCTGGAACAACATGTAATGATTTCTATTATCCTGTCATTGCAATACTTTCCCCATCCAACATTTTGTGTTGTAGCAGTGATTTACTTGTATAAATGTGCTAGAAGTGGAACCGGTAACTGCTGTAGCTGTTAGTCACTGTGAAACACTGATCCACTCTTCAGGGTACTCGGCATCTCCTTTAAATGGGATCTTGCCGCAGTGTCTCTATACAAAACCATTTCCATTCTGCATATTCAAATTTTTTGCCCTTACACAATAATCAGTGGTACTTAAAGGCTCACCTGCCGTGACACTACATAATTCCATTTGCTTTCATCCATAACCATATCACTATCTCGCCACAGGTGGAAAGGTGTCCTAGCTGAAACATCTTTTTTCATTTTACTTACCTAGGATCTTCTCAAGTACACTTCACGTAACTGACGCTACTGTTAGCTAGCTTCCATTTAAATGCTAGCTCTTTAGTAAACTGTCAAATGACTACAGTTTGTTCATTTGACTCTGGAGCTATGTTGTGACAATAAAACCTTGTGTTGCTCTGCTGACGCTGAATATGTGAAAGACAAAAGAGTGCAAGAAAATTAAAGATGAAAAGAAATAGAATGGCTGAGGGTGCCAGAGTCCTGACACTAGGGCAGAATTACTTAAATTGCCTTTGGCGGTGGCTCCTTGCCTGGCAGACTTATTTCTAATTAAATGTCCCCAGAATTTAACTTAATTACCTTACAGGATAATCAGGCTCTCTTAAATATCATTTAAAGATTGCAATTGTCATGCTTGCCAATGTAAATCCAACCATCTCTCCTAATATGCACAGACCCATTATCTCACTATTATCTCCCTCACTTTCCTTTTGCTCTTATCCCGTTGTTTAGTGATTTATGCCCCGGCACTAATATCTCCAGTTCTTAAGCTTTGACTGCAGTGAAAGTCATGAAAAGTTGTAGCAGTGCAGGTCATTCCTTTCTGTTCTTTTAAGATAGGAAAATAAGACAGGTAGAAAAAAGAAAAGGCAGGTAGGTAAGGCAATCCATTGACTGACAGGGACCAGAACAACTATTAGCCTCAAGTCTTATGAGACAACCACAGGGTGATTTCAATTACCCTGCTCTACCCCACCAGGAAGACTCTTCAAATGGATAAAAGAATATTTTGGGCAAAGTAAAGCGAATGAAAGAAAGAGACATATATTTAATATAACTAAATAACTACTAACTACTAATCCCTTTCTGTATCTGGTTAAATGATAACAGTTAAATAAGTGAAGAATATAGGAGGCACAGAGGGCCAACTAAGTTTGTATATTCAATCTTTAATTGATCTACAAAACACTTAAAGTGCCACTTCAGCTTTCATTTGACCTTCCACTGCCTTTCAGTGACATTCATCTCTACTGGCACCACTCCAAAGTTAGTCTCTCAGAATATTCTTAGTGCTTAACACAGCATGACATTTTCAAACAGAGAGTTATCACAAATTTATCAACAATACTCACTTCACTTTTTAAGGGCTTTTGTAGTTCTGTTCTACTAAAGTCATATAATTGTCACTAGCATGGTAGTTTTATCCAAAGAAAATTTGGCTAAATTAAAAACAAGGGCACCATTATGATTAGTAAACAGTGTATCGAGTGCATTCATGGAATTTTATTTTACAGGACATATTATACAGGGCTGGACTAGTAAATAAAGTCCTGGGTAAACCATAACTCTTATGTTTTTGGTAGTGCTGGGCAACCATTAAAATTTTTAATCCCGATTAATTGCATGGTTTTCTGCGATTAAACGCAAATTACCCTTTGCTAAGCCACGCCCTGAATTCGTAGCTGACCAATCACAGTGCAGCATAGGACTCTCTCAAACTGAGGCCCGACACTTTCATGGCTGCGCTCCATTGACTCTAATGCAAAAAGAGTAATTTTCTTGCTTTCTTTTGCTGTATTTTTCCAAGATATGGTCAAAGCTGTCCTGGGGCACTTGTAATAGTTACAGTTGCTACCCAGAGAGGTTGAAAGGAGAAGTACGATTTATTCCCTTTCCAAAACCTAAAACAAATCCAGAAAAATGTAGACTGTTGATTATTCCTCATGTAAAGTTAGTTAGCTAACACTAGTATTTGGATAATAAGGCCAGCCATTGTAAAATCATAAAGCCGTTAAACTGTTCTCACTGGCATTACAGCCCAGTCACACCAGCATTTTAAAACAGCAACATTTTAACACAAAATTATCATTTTCAATGAAATCCAAAGAGCCATGTTTTGCAGAGAGTTATGAGACATAAGTTGATGGTTTAAGTCCCAGTGACTGAGCTACCTAGTTTGCTAACAGTCAGTTTGCAAAGTTTTGTAAATGGTCAGTGAAACACCCTTCATTAATATTAATACGTAGTGACTGCATGAAGAAAAGGAGGCAAATTCTGGCAGAAAAGCTACAAAACGAAATTTAACTCCGTTTGACACTGACGTTCCTTTTGGTGAAGCTGAAGCATGTTGTTTGGTGGGTAAAAAACACATTTTCTCGCAACGCTTGTGCACTGGAAGAAAGAGGGCACTGGAGCTCCACCCCTTTATAACCGATCTGCAGGAAGGGGCATCCCTCCTGAGTAGTGACGTCGCTGGCTGGAGACTGGCCGCTGACTCATTGAAAACAGCATCAATTGAAATGTAATTTGTCCTGTTCACCTTATTTATGAGAATAAATTGCACTGCATGCAAATGTTAATTAATATGATTTCTGATTAAACTGTAAAACATATTTGAGGCGTTCTTTTGCAGAAACAGATATCTCCGTTTGTATTTATGACGCACGTTTCCAGCCCTGTTTTGTACGTACGCACTGTTTATAAATGAGACCCCAGGCCTGTAGCCAACTTAGGTAGTGTACCAACCTTCAGGGAGACAAGGATCAGGAAAACTACATGTACTACATAAGGACTAATTGGCAATACACTCTGGCCCTAACACGTAGCATCTTGTGAAGTGACGTATATTTTTTGATGCCCGTAGCACACGCTGGGTGAGCATACAAACAGAAAGGGTAGTCAAGGCACAGTAGCTGGGATGTGCCAACCCTGGGAGAGAACGTGACTTTAAATTGCTTAGTAGAGAGTAGAGTAGTTGAGTGTTGGCACACGTCAACTCTGGGCGTATCCTGATGTGACAATGTGGATCAACCCAGCATGATGCCTCCAGTATTTGGGCTTCAATAGATAACAATAGGCACATGTGTTTTGACGCATCTCGTGTGTTGCCCTCAAGATCTACATTGTCTATACTTGTACAGATATTTGATACAGCACATTTGGAGTACTGTCAGATGTCAATCTTATCTGACTACTCTGTCTCCTCTGCCTTCCTCAAGGAATGGGCACCAGTCACTTCTTCTGCTATACAGTGCACAGCAGGATTCATTTGCTTTATCTCTAGCAGAAATGGACGGTGAGCTATAGTGGCTCTTCAATGGTCATGTGATGATGACTCAGTTCCAGGGTTAACCAAATTTACCTCACAAACTGTAGTTCCCAATTGTGTCATTTCCATCGTAGATAGAACTGAGAAGAAGCATTTCTTATATCTGTTGTAGCAGTCATTGTGGCAGATTGCCTCTGTCAGCCTACCGCTGTATTTTACATTGTGTGCCTTATGTTTGGTTTGGCTACAAACCTATAGTACTATTTTATAACATAAAGCAGTTAAAGGGTGACATTCTTCCTGTGCAAATGGAGCTACGGTTTGAAAAATTTTGGTAATGGTTGAATAGAGAGGAGGGGCAGGAATTAAAATGGAGGCTCACTGATCTTCTCAACCACATTACCATTTATAAAACATTATTTTTTTACATGTCTTTCTTTTGCTACTTCCCTTTGTACAGGTTTCAAACCTATACATATTTTCATTTTACAATGAATCCTAAGGTAAAAAAATCCAGAAACCCAGGACTTGAATAAAACCCTCTTTTTACCACTGTTTCATGCATCTCAAAAGACATTTTGATTTGAGCAGACCCCTTCAGGTTCCTGTTTCAGGTGCTTTCATGAATCTGAAGCCTCTAGTGGTATTTATTCATGACAACCTGTTCCTTTACACCAGGCACATCACACACGTTTGCTTTTCCCAGCATCCAAAGAGACAGCTGTCACAACAGTGATGGTATCACCACAGTGGCTAAGATGCAGTATGGGAGAGGGTAGAATGTGCACTTAGCCCATATTTTAAAGCTAAAATATGAAATGATGTATGCAACTGTTTACATTAAGACAGACTTTCTCCTGTAACAGCATCTCTCTTGGCAGACTCTTGCTTCCAGTATTTGTTTTATTGATGGGACACAAACACACTTGTGCAACAGACTGTTAGGAAGTAGGACAAAGGGATAAAAATAATCAATCTCTATTGCGACTTGGCTGTGCAGTGCTGTCTGAAGCTATCCCTCTTATTTTGTATGACTGTGATGAGGTATTCTCTTCATTGCTTTTGAGAACATATTGTTTGTGTGATATTACAGAGCAGCCACTAATCAGAGGAGGGTTACTTTGCTAGATTTAGATCTGGCAGTGCAGCTGAAAGGTGGCCACACAATAAATCTGGCTTTCTAAAGCCTAATGAGTGATTCACAGTCACGTAGTAGCCCCTGACACCATGCAATTGTTACCTGATTCACCTTATCTGACCATGCTCCTCACCATCACTCTACATACAGTATTTTGCAAGGTCAATGGAAGAAAGACATTCTACTTACAGCCAAACAATTGCTGCCTGTGTCAGGTTTCAGCTGTGTTATTTTGTGTAAAACTAAGTGGACTGACCCTTCAACAAAACAAGTTGTTCACAGAGTACTCCCAGAGGAACCAATGATGCATAAAATAGAATTTCAGCAGAAGTCGAGAAGAAATCGAAAATATTAACTTTCGATAATATTTTTAGAAGAAAAGCTTGTAGACTTTATTATTATTTTCTTTTGTAAAGTCAGCCTAAACCTCTGGAGCTTTATATATGCCTTCAGAGTGAAAAACACACTAAAAAATCAATTGAGCCCTAAAGCAGGAAGCCAACCAACCAGCAAACTATGAGGAGTCATTTAAATGATTAGGACAACAAGCAGTGCTGTGTTTAGTTTAAACCAAATACCAAGTTTTCACCTCTTACTTCCCAAGCCCTGGGTCTAACTTCTTTAATTAGACATTATAGATCACATTTCAGAAACTCCAGGGGCTCTTCTCATTTCTCTATTTTGTACCTCCTTGTCTTCTCGCTACTTCGTCCTCCTGCCTGTATTTGCTGTGACATTCCTGTATGCATAGAAACATTTAAAATGACAGCTGCCTCTCTAATCAGCAAGTCAAGTTAACTCCCTCTGGGACAATAAAATCTACAACACACAAAGAAATGACCTGGAAAGCTTGCGCTGTTCGGCACAATTTTAAAAGGGAATATAGCATACAGGGACCATTAGAGATGGAAAGAAATGTCCATGCGGATCTCTAAATCTGAGAAAATAATTAGTTCTGGTGGTTGGCGGGTGGATGATTTATGCGTACATGCGGATTGCGATAATGTCAGAGCCAATCCGTGCAAAAGACCAATTCAGCTGCTATAACTGTGACATGACCAGTGCAAACAGCTGCTAACTTATTATTATTAGGCTATATCTACAAGAACTTCCTCTTGCAGTCAAGGCTAATTTTCTGTGTATATACGTGCATGTGTGTGTGTATTATAAATTTAAAAAGTATGACATCTGTACATTCTTGTCACATTGTGCCACGTTGTGAATTGGATTAAAAGTAAAGTTGTCATAAACACTGTTATGCTCATCTGACAGAGGTCATAAAATACAGTGGTAGACTATAATAACATAATGCACAGATGGTGCAGCTGTGACACAAGTCATATTTAATTGACGATGTTCAAAATGACTGCTCCGAAGCAAGGGTGTCTCATTTTGTTAAATGCCTGTTGCATCGACTCATCTCGCCTTGTGTCTCTTCCTCACCTCCTCCGCTAACATCTCAGAACCAAAATAAAGAAAGGATTTGAGGATGTACGAAATGAGAAAGGAAGAATAGTGATGCAGTGGTAAGCACTGTTACCTAACAGCAAGAAGAGTAATGGGTTAAAATCCTCTGGCAAGATGGGAACTAGAGACGTTGCAGGTTAGGTTTACTGAAGACTTTCAATGGTTTTCTGTTTGTATGCATCAGCCCTGTGATAGACTGACAACCTGTCCAGGGTATACCCCACGTGTCACCCCGTGTGAGCTGGGATAGGCTTCAAACCCCTGCAACCTTGCAAAGGATAAGTGGCTGTATTTCTTGAACAGCCTCCAATGTTTTTCAACCCTCAGTTATTCCTCACATTAGGTTGCGGAATACTTGAGGAGAAGGAGAACATACTGTATCCAAATTTTGGGTCTGGGTTGTGTTTACAGCAAGCTAAGCAAAACACACAAAATATACCTTTGCCAAGTCATATTGGGCCCAGTTATAACTGTGCTACTATAACTGTACTTGTATAGTGCCTTTGTAGTCTTCTGACCACTCAAAGCGCTTTACACTACATGTCACATTCTCCCCAATCATACACTGATGGCAGAGACTACAATGCAAGGTGCCAACCGGACATTCATCCACTTCTGGAGAAATTTGGGGTTCAGTATCTTGCCCAACACTTTGACATGCAGGCTGGGGAAAGCCAGGGATCAAATTGTGGGCAACCCAACTAATAGCCCCTGAATTCCTTCATCTGTACATTCCGGTTTAATGTTTTTGTGAGAGTCAGCAGTTGTTTGGTTAAAAGCTATTTAGCTTTAAGCTTATAGTAATGCTTGCTAAGGAATTCTGTTCTTTACTTAAGAAAGTGCAAAACTGTATTCTGCCATACCTACAGTAAGCGATGTGAATTTTATGGACTTTCTCTGTGAGGTTCATTCATATTTTAACTGAAATCCAAAATGCACCTGTATTGCTGTGTTTAAGTCTGCTTGTCTTTGATGTTTCCCTTAGGCAAGCCTAGAGTTGAGCTGACCTACGACAAGATGTACACAGTAACCAGCCGGCTGACGTTCACAGTTAGTAAGGAGGATGATGGTGAACCTGTGGTTTGCATCGTAGACCACCCTGCAGTCAAGGACTTTCAAGCACAGAAATACCTGGAGGTGCAGTGTAAGTACTTCTGCTGAGTAATACATTAGAAGTCAGCATGGATATTTAACCTGGATCATGCAAGATTATTTATCTTTTAAGTGTCACATTGGCTTAACCTTTCCCCACCAATTAAATGACATAAATTTGCTACTTTTCCCTGAACTAAAACTTTGGTGTATGACATGTATGGCAGTGTCACTGAAGTGAATTCATCTCTATGCACAGGTTACGATGAATAAAAGCGGAACATTGGACTGCAGTCAAACATACTGTTCCATCTCCACTAATTAAATAACAATTTCCCACAGTTCCCCTCCACTGAAACTTTGGTGCATTGCACTTTCATCAGAGGGAACTGATCTCGGCACATGATGTCATCACTACAGTATGAAGCATCAGAAAATGACGGGATTGCAGTTGACTTCAGATTGCAAGATATCTTTCAAAACATTGTTGTTTGGGGCCAAAAATATGTTAAAGCAGTGCAATTTGAGTTTTTTTAAGTTTTAAAAGGCATTGTGTCTACATAAGGAGCCAAGAAGCATGACATCCACTGCAGACACATGTTGTCGTCTACCCTGAAAATAGCTCCAAAAACACACAGCTGTGATTACTTACAGCACCCAAAATGTATTTAATTCATTATATTACATTTGCACCTGTTCAGCAATGATATCCTAATTAATGTAATAATTTAGTTTATAGGACTCAAAGTGAAACAGGGTACAACCTTAATACTGAAACACTGAAATGAAAAGAACATAGAGACAAACACAGAAAAATTAGATGTCAGATGTAAAACATCAAAAGTAGACTACACAAAAACATTTGATGAAAAATGATGTTATAGGTGTGTAAAATGCAAAAAGGAATAAAAAACATAAAAAATTTGTGAAATTTGCCAAGAATATATAAATGAATAAATAAATTAAAATACTGAATATGAGATTTATTGTCTGATAAACATAATCCAAGTAAAATTCTTCACAAAACAAACAGAAGAAACAAAATGTAACCCTTAGTGGAGGTCAGAAGTCATGTTTTTATTGCCATAACTGCTTTACATTACAACAGAGAACAATTGTTAGGCATCACAGAAAGGTATTTTAGTAGGTCAAATGTATAAAAGATATTAGACCACAGGCCTTACCATAACATTGGGGGAAAAAACTAAATTAACTACCCCAGCCATGTGCCAAGGAATTAAAATTCTAGCAGTTTTAGATCTTTTTATTGATGCAAAATGAGAACATTTCTGTATTTTATGCCTCTGTAACCTTATGTCTTTGGCCTTTTGAATGTCCTAGCGTTTTATTAAAAAAATAAAAACTCTTCTGTAGCTCTCTGACCTTTCCCTGGGAAAGCGAGAAGAGGAGATCAGCTCATCTACAGAGGCAGCATGGCATTTTGTTGGCCTCTGATAACAGGGAGCTCACATGGACCACCCGGCTCTGTGCCTCACACTGTTTCATGCAGGGGCTGCTGCTGTCATGCTCTGTGCATACTGTACTGGGCAACAAACAGGCATTCCCAGTCCTACACACAACCTTGTCTTTGATCTCTCTGCTATACAGTTGAATATTACATCTGGACCGTGTTGACTGAAGAATGTGACTGCTTGTATGGAACTTATTCAGACAATGATAGGTGATTATTTCAATTCTGTTATTTTATGTGTCTGTAAAATACTAGGGAGCAGTTCTTGATTTCCAGAGGTATTTGCTTTCTATGTGCACTGACTAAAAAATACAGCAATTAATTGTAATAAATAAATTGGAAGTGTACTAATTGAACACTAGGGGTGTAATCCAAACAGAATCCACAGTTCAGTGGATCATGGTTTGGAATATTTTCAGTACAGCAGGGAAAAGAAAAGCACAGGGAAAAAACATTTACATTATTTATTTTGAAATATAAATAGTGGCTAATTGGCCATCATACTTATTGTAAGCATTACACTGTTGGCATAGGGTCAAAAATTTAAACAAAATTAAAAACATAAATATTAATATATCCACAATATAATAATAATATACTTATTTGTGTGATGCTGTTGCATATGGGTTATTTATTAAATGGCATGTTTGACGTGTGCAGTTTTTGTCCATTTCACAATACGTGAATAAGAGCCAAAGACTCCTCCAGCTCAGCTTTTGCCCATTTGCCTTAGCCATGCTAACAACGCTCGATATATTAAGCTAAACACCCAGAGGCTATCTCAACTAGCATGGGTTAGCAGACAACATCTGTCCTACTGCCAAAATTGTCCAGGTGGAACATTTAACACTTAGACAGTATTTATGTTCCACATATTCTAAGAGGTAGATCTAATAAAAAGCTAATTCTCTATTTTACCTAAAGTTAGTAACTAATTACATGGTCTTTTCTACAAACCTGATAATCCAGTTGCATATCTGTTCCTTCCAAAGCAAATTATAAACGTCAGGACCCGTAATAAAGCATACTTTTGCTGTTACTACACAGTGACACGCAAGATTGTTTACTGATTACTGAGATAGATGAGGTGATTTACATTTAATCACTCACTGTGTGGGCAATTTGTGAGTGGAATGAAGTGTATTGTGTAGTAAGAATCGACAACAAAAAGGCCATTGTCAGGGGGCAGCATAATTATAAGCTGGTAATTTTCATGTGTATAAGCAAAGCAAGCTGTTTTGCTCCGTTGCCTGGTTGTTTTTCCCTTAAGGTCAGCTTGCTGCAGAGAGATGGATAGTGCCTTCTTGAGTGCTTATGAGGTGAGGCACACACTAAAGCAAATAATTCAGTTAGCATAATGATAACGGCCCTCTTGCATACAGTAGACACTATTTCATTTTCACTAACGTGGCAGTATCCAGTGGCAGTGCGGTATGTGTTTTTTCCATCAAGCAGAGACAAGAAAGCTCAGCCATAACTACTTGAGGCTATCAAAACAACCTACAGATGCCTGGCGTCCTTCATGTTTATGGATCCGAGATGACAAGGTCAGATGACGTGAGTGAAGAAAAAGTTGCAGGACGCCATGTAGTGCCTGGAGTGGAAACAAAACCAAAGGGTTGCTGTCTAAACCCGGGCATACCCACTGAGCAGAAGACTTGGCTTTTTGCCCATCTGCTGTCCATCTCCAAGACAGAGAGCCGGCCACTGACAGGGTGTGATTTAGACAGATGGATGGTCAAACATGTTGTTTGTTGCAGAGAAGGTCGGACAACAGTGTGGAACTTTTCTGCTGGCTTTGAAATCATAACTCAGGCCCGAGTCCTGTGTCTAAAGGCTGATGACAAATGCAAGTACCAAGGTGTGCATTTAGGCTATAAATTAGGGAAAAGAACAAGAATAATTTACACCAGAATCAGAAAACTTTCATTACACCGTTGTGACTCAGCAGTCAAATTGTTATTTGAGTAACCAGGCTAGAACATTATGTGCTGAAATCATTCATGTGTGGTCTTCAGGTTAATTAAGCTATTAATGTATTGCCAAAAATGTAGGCCATCATTTTAGATCAAATCCTGCTTTTGATAAAGGGGTGATTGTTAACAACACTCATTGTGTGGAAATCAAGCGGCAACCTCCGGCTCTCACTTCCGATACCAATGCGGAAGTATCTGAAACTGCAATTCATCAAGTGGCCACTTGAGGCTGGCTGCAGAAGGGAGTCAATCTCCATTGACCCCCATGTTAAAATGCCCAACTTGTGACAAATATAAAAAGTACCTTTCTCTCTCAAGTGTCCTATTCCAGACAATAATCCCACACAGCCCTGCCGACAGCAGCAACGTTACTCAAAATAGCGGTGTGGGGAATTAATTAACGTGATAGCAGCCATGGCTAACGTTTTACAAGATATACAGCTTCCATCATGTAACTGAGGACTCTACCGCTAGCTTACGTTTATTACAAGTAACATACTGAGGTGACATCCAAAAAAACGACTCGTAACCTCTCGTAACCAACGGTATGTAAATTGATTTGCTTGAAATTGTTTGTTTTAGCTGTAACGTTAAGTAAACTTAAGATAATTAATAACTGATTCATAGTTGGTCTCAACAAAATCTAACTTTAGTCTTGCAAAATAACGTTACCACATTTATATATTAAAAAGCATTTAAAACCTTGTGAAGTATAATGTCAATAACAGATATGTGATTATTTTAATATTCTCCAGTGTCTTACCTTGACTGTAGCTGGTAATGTTGGTAAACTGGTAACAACCAGCCACAGGTTCCAACCTCCAACGTACAGCACCGCAGACTTGCATGTAGCATTTGCTCCTTAGCATGAGCTAACTCGGTCACGTCGAACTAGGCGGGAGTGGTTTCAGCAACACGTCACCTCAGCTCCACCTACGACCCGCCTCTTTGCCCATTTTTGGTTATCTGGGAGTGACGCACGGTGACGCGCTACCAAGATGGCGCCGGCCAGCTCCGCTAATTTTGAGCTTCAAAATGGCTCTTCAGAAACCAATGGGTGACGTCACGGATGCTACGTCCATTTTTATATACAGTCTATGGTGGAAACACGTACCTGTTATTTTGAAGCATAAGCCATGTTTAAAGTCAGAGCAGGACTTTTGTTGCATTTGTTTTGTCTCAGTCTTACTTTCAGTATGTGTACATTGAATTCAGTCCCCAACCCAGATGATAGATTGAATAAAACATTTCTGTCCAGAATAAAGGATCATCTCTCACACCAAGATGAGAAATGGCTTTGATAACACCAGCAACAGTCAACGGAATGTAAACAATAGAACCTCCATGCTTGCAAAGAATAGAACAGCATCAACTGTCAAAGCACCCCACTGATTTGTCAAAACAACCTCCTTACATTTTCTTTCCAGCTGCCTCAGCTCTTCAGCAGTTTCTTCTGTTTTGTGCAGCAACTTTATCAGGTAATGTCTTCGGACATACTCTAGGCTACCTGTGACCAAACACTTAACCACATCTATCATTCCCAAAAGCTTTGGCACTGCTGAAGAATGACTTGATGGATGGACGATCTAATGATGAGCGGGTTGAGGTTAAGGCAGTAGTCAAGTTATCTAGCTATCACCTTGACATGATCTTCTCCTTCACTCCAACAATGTTGGTGCTGATCAAGGTTGTTGTTCTTGTTTCTGCACTAATCGATTTGTTTATTCTTTAAATCTGTCATTATGGTGAGCAGTTTACTGTATATTCAGTGTGAAGAAAATCGTTATTAGCCACCAAAAGCGACTGGTAAAAGCAGACCAAGTAAGGCTGTTGCAGTAAAACTGGACAGTGGATGGAGCTGTAGCAGCAAACTGCAGCTGATATATCAGCTGAGTAATAATATGAGTAGGCAGGTTTTGATATCTGTGCCATACACCTCTATGAGTATCATTGGATGCTTCAAGTCAGCTGGTAGCCTTATGGAGAAACATCAGCTGATGCCAATCAGCTCAATGTCATGCTCTGCCTGAACAGCAGTGCTTTACGTCAGTCCTGATTGGACATGAATCCTTACTGTTTGCTGCAGCACCTCTGAGAATGTGTCAAGGCAAACATATTGGGAGAGTTTTTGAAGTGCTTCCACTAAACATGAGTCATGATGCATAGTTGTTATATACATACGGACATAACTTTTAGAACTGGAATGAGCTTCAAAAGTTTGTACCTTCATGTTTATGTATGCTGCAAAAAGCAAGACTGCAAACAGGAATCAATCAGAAAGAACATAGATTTGGAAAGTAGATGTACACTGAAGATAGATAATACCATGATCGTTTTGTTGTCCCCGCATCTAATTTTCTGTTTCTCTCTCATTCTTTCAGACAAACCGGAGGTGAAGATCGTGGTAGAATTTCCTCAGGGTCTGACCAGGGAAGGAGAGAACCTGGAACTGACGTGTCAGGCCAAAGGCAAACCTCAGTACGACACACACACACACATACATTTAACTAATTAAAAATGTGGTATGGGCAGAGAAAGCACCAGCACATTTATGTATTCATCCAAATACCTAGACTTAATTCCTTAGTGTGTAAATGTGAGTGTCTTGTTGCAGTAGTGTGTGGAACTGTCTTACTGTTTTGTCCTTGCATTTAAGAAGAACTTTTGCAGTAGCAAGTACTGTTGAGTTACATTATATGAGAATATAAACATATACAAATATAAACGAATATTAACATATTACAATTCCAGCAATCAGACATAAATAATAGAAAACCATTAAAGTTTTACTACCCATTGTCTTCCAAGGAAGTTTAAATCAAGGGCAACTCGACTTGGTTAAAGATACTTGAAGATGTTTCACCTCTTGGATATATATCAATAGATACCTTTTTCAGGGTACAATCTAGAGAAGAGTATGCAGCTGTAACCTCAGAAGTGTGGTCTCCTTCAAAGCAGACTTGCAGTACATCAACTTCATACATTTTTTAAAACATACAATTGTGTGGGCGAAAGGAAAAAGTGGTAAATTAAATTAATATAGATATGTAGTACAGAACAGTGGGGGGAAACTGACTATAAGAAAAGACAAAATGTAAAATATTAAACCTCATATAGGTGATTCACAAGACCATTTGCAGAAGCTGTGCCTCTGGACACTTGCACATGCCTATATTCTGTTGTGAATAAACAATTGATGTAGTACATTTTCTACAGTAATAAATCTGAAACTTGTGTGGATATATTGCAGTAAGATCAACAATAATATCCATATGATTGCCAATAAGCTCAACTGCTGTCAACTGAAAATAAACATTCAAAGTTAAAATGTTACCACTTATTTTGTGTAGTTTTATTCAACATGGTATTAATAATGCATCATGTTTCAGATACTGTAGATGTCTATACCGTCTGTCCTCAGAATTAGCAGCTTGTCAGTACTTTCTCTGCGCACACTGCATTTGTTTTTATTTCCTCACCTTCACAAGTCGATGGTGGGTTGGTTGCTGCTCTGTGCCACAAGAGATCACCGGTATTCCGTTTCAACATAATAAGAAAACTAATAAGCGCAAAGCCCCCAGGCAGTGTAAAACCCGGTGTAAATTCTTAATAAATGCCTTTGGATGTATAGAATTAGCAATGAAAGTTGGCTCTAGGAATGTGAAATGTTACTTTGGGAGAAGAATCTGAAGTTCGTATGTGATGTTGACAGGCCTGAGATGTGGTTGTACTAATCACTGGCTCTAGAACCAGTCTTCTAGATGGGAGCGGAGATCAGAGAGTTGGGAGTAGAGCTCATGGATAAGAGGGTTGTCTTGACACAAGCACGTATGGCAGAGAGGAGAACTTTGACTAAACCACTTAACGTTGCCTAAAGACCCAAGGCCAGACATTTCAAACTGACCATTGCTGGATACATTATCTCTTAACTGAATGGCTGCTATTTTCTTTTTCAGGACTTTCAAAGGGGAAATTTGAAACTAGCCTGTAATTATGAAACACATCAGAATTACAGTGTGATATTTTCAGCAGGTGTTTAATTAGCACTCCTTTAAAGGCGGAGGACAGAGCAGAGAGAGGCATTAATGATAGTGAGCGAAGCGGGTTCTAATATCTAGCAAGAAGAATTTTAGCTGGAAGATGGCTGAATAGGCAGGGTGTTTTTAGTGATAAGCGCTAATCTTCTGAAGGTAAATGTGTGAGACTGAGGGAGTATGTTGATGGACTCATGACACTGGATGTGCACAGATGGAGTCAATTTTGTGATTAGAGTTAAAATATTACACAGAGTTGAGTTACAAGAACAGACCCAAAGTCATTTTTGCCCCAATGTCAAAAACACCACTTTTCCAGGCTTAATCAGTTCTTTGAAATGTCTGGTCTTTGCAGCAGAAAGCTTTGCCATTCATTAAGCTTTTATTCCACATGTATTATCTTTAAACCAAGGTATTGTTTTTTTTAGATGACAGGCCTTTGTGAAATGACATGTAATGGTGTGCAAATGAAGCCATTTCACTCAGGGGTGAGTGAAGGAGTGAAGGTTTTATGCTCCTGGCAAGAGAACTATCCAAAAATCAATACAGTTGGTGCTGTTAATATCAATCATATTAGTTTGTTGACAAGGCAGTTCAAATTTGAACAGAACAAAATAATCATAAGATGAAGCTGGAATTATGAATATTACATCAGAAATGAGTGATGTGACCAACTCATGGGTGTGGCATCTTTTTGTCTTTGTTTTTTTGTTGTTGTTTTTTTTTGCAAGTCTATTCAAATGTGCCAGTCATTGACAAGTATTAGGCTTACCATTAAAAAGACATCTGAAAGGCTTGAAACGTTGCTCTGAAACATTTGTAGTTTGCTTTTTTGCAGAGGAAGACAGCTGTAATGAGCTTGGATACACAACAGTTGCAATAAATTTTAATGGTAACCCAAAATAGAGCTAAATAACAAGCTTTCCATTTGTCCCCAACAGAGTTAGCTATTTGTGTCTGTCACTCCTGACTAATGTTATATCCTACTATAGTCACAAATGACAGACATAAACAGTTAATTATTATCCTGCATCAAGATGTCGTGTGAAGTATTTGGGCTTGTGTGCCCCTACAAGCCCCATAGCATTTGCCTATGCAGCCAGCTCTGAGCCCATTTCATTATATGTGCAGTCACAGGTCTTGCATGAGGTCAGTCCCTGTGCTGATCTTTGCGTATGCAGGGAATCATGGGTTAGCAAAACTGGCTTGACTTGTCCTTTAATTTGACCCAAATCTAACTGCTACTCTAAGTCAGAGCTAGCATCACTAAACTGTCCTCACTTTCCGGAAGAAAAAAAACCTGTAAAACTTTGTGTGATTCTCTGAAGTGTAGAAGTACAAGAACACACAAATACACACACAGACACACACAGGACAAAACACTATAGTGTACTTCAGACTGATGCTCCCCACCAGCCCCCCACAGTTTTCATACGTGGCATAGAGACAAGCTCACTACCTGTATTCATTTTATTAAGATGAAAACACAATCAATACAGTGAGCCGGGAATTGGAAGTCATTTTCATTAGAGCTGCTGAGAGTTGTGCAGTCATTACCAGCAGATAGCACAGGGGGCCGCGGCTGCAGGCAGCCATTTGTATTCAACACGCCTGCCCTTCCTCTCTCCTTGCAGCCCCATCTTGCCTCTTTCGTCTATCTCTGTCTATCTTCTTTCTATGGATTCACTTTTTCCTTCACACAACATACCATCCACCCGTAGAAAACTGAACTTTCTAGGTCATATCTCTCACTCCAAATTATCTTATGTTAAGACTTATATTTACAGTATATATTTATTATTTATTTTCATTTAATTTCCACTAGAGAGCACATGTAAAAGACACAACCCTCTCCCTTTCAAGCCGTCTACCACAGCGATTAAATGCACTTGTGGTTTGTTTGTTTGTTTATGCTATTGAGCTCCAACTGCTATTTCATATTTTCTTTTCCTGGATTTTTCACCTCAGCTTTTTTCCCCCTCTCCCATTTGCTTGCTCCCTCCACACCAAATGTTTTCAAATGGAGGGAAACAAGTTAAAACACCACAACAAAATGCAACAAGAGAGACCATCAGCACACACTCAGGGGAAATAACAGTAGCTGGCAGTGGCCATTGGAAGTTTCAGTAGCAAAATAGAGGTGTTTTGTCTTTTCTTTTCTCTTCACCCTCAGTGGCTCTGAGCTCATTGTCATAAAAATGGAATCTGTCACCCTGTTATAAACCTCAGTCAAGGTAGAAAAGAGAACAAATACAGACGCTTGGTAGGATCCCACCTACACAGCAAAACTCCTAAGTTTACAAGTGTGGAAAGCCAGCAATTTGAAGACAAAGCTGCTTCACAGTTATTGTTGCTTTTAGCTATACAAATGTCATTTTAATATGTCTTTTTCAGGACTTAGCTATTTTTGATTAGCCTATTTTTCTGACAAACAATTTCTAGAAAATTAATTTAAAAAATGAGGTAAATTTGTCTAGCTTATGGTCAGATTAATGTGGGAAAAGTTCTCAAGTGTTATGTAGAGAACTCTTTTGCCTGCTGCAGTGCTTGCTACAATGGGGGGGTCATCATAGTAAAGGCTATAAGAATATGAATATGAATCCTAAAGTTTTTGGTGACCCACTGACCTTCCCTCTTTTGCCAGTCTCAGGCAAACATTTCCGCTTGTTAGAATAAGTTGATTATCACAGTCTTGAACACTTACATTCTATGACTGTTTTTCTGACTGATGCTCTGGTGTTTTCATTTCAGGCCACAGCGGGTGAACTGGGTGAAGGTGGATGATGATGTGCCATCCCATGCTGTCATCACCGGCGGTGATCTTTACATCGAAAACCTCAACAAGTCTTACAATGGAACCTACCGCTGTGTGGCCTCCAACTCAGTGGGGGAGTCTTTCGACGACTACATCCTCTACGTCTATGGTATGCAGGTCTAAAGGCCCATTTATACTCCTGCGTAGGGTCTACGTGCGTACCTACGCCGTAGGCTACACACGTAGCCATGCATTTATACTTGTGCATAGGTGTGCCCGTATTTCTGCAATTAAACCCTCAAACCTTAGTCGGCAGTTGTGCTACAACCTCCACTGTGTTGACTGTTGCCGGCCGAGCAGGCTAACTTCCGGTTTAACCCTCCGCTAACGTAAATGGGGGTAAAATTGTAAACGTGCGGCTGGTGTAGCCTTTTCAAATGTTACCGAGCGAATGGATCACATTCTGATAGCGAAACGAGTCATTTCGCTCGGGTTGCGACGGTCAAATATATTGATTCACTGTGTTACAGCCGCCGTTTTGGTCGCTAGTAAAAGTTACTTCAAAGCGCTGGGTACTTCCGGTCGGCTCGGAGGCATTGCGAGGCTACCCAGCCGACCAATCACAGAGCTTACGGTCCGCGTCGACTCGACGTGTAGTTACATTTTTGAGGAGGTGCACATCAGGCGACGGCGTGGCCTCTGCGTGGCCTCTGCGTAGCCCCGTAGCCTACAACGTCGATTCGACGCAGAAGTATAATTTACGACTGACCCTTCAGCACTTTATTATCTTTCTACTTGTATCTCTATATCTGCTTTTCTTTCTTTCTCATTCGTTTTTGTCAGTACTTTTCTATATTGGGTATAGTAACTTGCATTCTTAAGCATAAGACACTATCAGATACAAAACTTCTAATGTTTAGCTTGCTTCCTTTTACACAATACATATCTTAGTTATTCTAATGTTTTAAAAAATCTTTAAACTGTTCCCCTTATTGTCTCTGGTGTAAAAGTTTAAATCAGTGATCATGAGTTTACATTTTTTAGAATGAGTAAGTATTTTTCAAATAATTTATAGGTAGGCTGGTGATATTTACAAGGGTGGTGAGTTGTTGGCCCTGGTGCTCATTGCTAGCACCTAAAGCATAGTGAAAACTGTGTTGATTAGCATAATCCAAAGTATGCAGACTGACTTTTAAATAAGAGCTTTGTTTTAATGCAGGTACAGTATACTCTTTATCCTTCCCTGTTTCCAATGGCACTGTGGATATGGCTAATACCAAAAGCTTGTCACTTCACCCTGTCCACTTTGTTCACTTGAATGCGCTTTCTGCCCTGTACCTGTATCAAGATAAATGGGGTCCTGAGGCCACATTAAGACTGACACAATGGGAAAAAATGCAGGCGAGATAAGGCAGGCAGATAAGCCTGCAAACTCATTATTATCTTCTTTCCAGTGCCTGTAACAATGCACCCACACCAAAGAAGCTCCTTTAGTTGTCTTTTAAGCAATGCTATTTTCGCCACCAAAGAAGACAACAAGGTCATGTCCTCAGTATTGTTTTTTTCTGTTAGTATTGTTTGGTTATTTTAATGACCTGAGGAGGAGTTTACATTGTGTATTTACATACACATTGTACTTGAATTCTGAAGACTCACTCTTTTACTTTTAGGGCAAAAATGATTTAAAAAAATAGTAGAGGGATTAAGTGTCTGAGTCATGTTACGGTAGTGTGATGAGGGCCTTGAAATAACGTTTAGAATATCAGGTAGGAAAATCAGATTTTGAGAAAATATAATTGGACAGTTTATTAAACAATACTTTAAAAAGTATTTAAAATAATCAGCAAGTGTCACATTATTTTTGTGTTTGTGCTTGTCAAACATTTCAGTGCGGGGGGAGGGGGTGGATGGGGGATCACAGCATTTCTCAAATTCCTGCTACCAGCCAATAGAGCACATGCCAGCTATTTCCATAAGGTAAAGGTAGTTGGCGAGACTGCAAAATTGTGGTTTAGTTCTAAATGTAAACCTGATTATATCAGCTCCACTGACTCACTGGGTTTAATTTTTAATATAGGGATCCATAGACCACATAATAATTTTATTACATGCTGATGTAAGTCAAGTCACGTCAATTTTATTTATAAAGCCCAAACTTACAAATCATAAATTTACCTCAAAGGGCTTTGCAACCTGTACAGCATACCACACCCTCCATCCAGATAAGGAAAAACTCACACTCAAAAAATTGAATGCTAACCACTGTCATTCAGCATAGTGCAAACCATTTTTGTTTTTTAATTGCATGAAGCACCACAGCCAAGACTTACCTAGGGATTGAGTGTGTTGTGTATGTTCTGTTGACTGTATCCACCTACTTCTGCCAGATTTCTTTGGCTTCCTGTTGATGTAGCATCCTCCTCTCTTTCTCTATGTTGTTCTCTCATCCTCATACGCGTTATCTTAACATGCTTTTGTACTGTTGATACCAATAACATTTTCTCCCTGAGCAGGGCATTACACGCTAATGTGCTCATTTTCCCTGGCCAAAATTACTTTGCTATCACTTTTGGTAGACCCTGAGCCCGCAGAGAAATTATTTGGCTGCTATTGTCAGAGGGAATTAGCAGAGCGAAAATGCTTCTTTTTTTATGTGGAGGGGGGGGTCTCTATGCCTGACGGACACCAGCTGAATGGATGTTATTTACAGCAGAGCAAGCTGCTGTGTTAATGATGAGTGCAATAAAACAACAGAGGCACCACTAAAGATCAGGAAACCGCTTACTGCCACCTGCTATATTACAGTTGTTAATCTATACTAACTAAGTGCATTGTCAGTCTCTCTGTGTGTATATTCTTCTGGTTCCATCATTGTAAAAATCAGGTTAACATTTCGTTCTTAGTTCTAAGCTACGGTAAAAGATTTTTGACAGTTTCAATTTTATAGATAGTTTTGGATTTTTAAGATCTAGATTTAGGATTTAGGGCAGAGTATTAAAATGAGAATTGATATTTAAGTTTGGAGTAATTATTATGGGAATTATTAATAGATAAGATAAGATTTGAATATTAGTATGGTAAAGGTGTGTGTCTGTGCATGCAAATGTGTTTGTAATTGCATCAACTACTGCATGCATAAAAATAAACGCCAATGAGAGCAACCATGTTGTTGTTCACATTTGTGCGATCCATTAAGCACAACTTCGTGTGAATTTTCTGGTAATTCAAGCAGGCTTTTTGTAGGTCTCGGTCTCCCCGGGCCTAAACAACAAAACCCCTTGGTGAGGGCTGCAAGTCGCCCCGCTCTCATCCACCCACACAACCCCCCCAAACGGTGAGAGAAAGACAAAGATAAACACGGTAATGTAACACACGGGCAACTAAAAGCCTTACACCAAAAAAAAAAAGAAAAAAAGCCACCATTAAAACCACAGAAGGCCTCCATCCTTTTAGAGCTAGTCTTTTGATGACTTTGATGTGTCTGTGGCCCCCACACTACTAATGTCCACTGTAATTCAACAGCAAATCATGCCGAACCTTCGCCTTGCTAATGGGAAGACAGGATGCTGTCAGAAGCTGATTCTCACATTATTTTCCAGACCCCCTGCCACCACCACGTACACACAGGCAGCCCCCCTCCTCCCGCTCATACACTACCACCACCATGCATGCACCGTTGTAGTCAACCATTTACCTAAACAGAAGATTATATGTAGACCATAGAGTGTATAAAAGAAGTGGACAGTCTAAAATAATGTACTATGTTTAGATTTAATGCACCACAATACCTCAAAAGTTTGCCACACCTCTTATATGATGTTGTTTTGTTGTTTTTTTTAAAAAGTTTTTTTAAAGTACGTTAGAACTGTGTAATTCAATGATAAAGTCCGCATCGCGCCTCCACCCCCAACACTCCCCCTGCTTGACAGCCAGAACAAATGCAGCCATGGGCAGCATCCCCTCTAATACATCTGATTCCTGAGTATTGTGACCCTAAGTGATGGAGAGCACCGTGAGACTGGCTGACACTAACAATGTTAAAAGGGAAAAGAATGCAGGCTGTACTGCTCTAGCTCTCACTGGCGCTCTTACTTCACAGGGTAAGAAAACACAACCATGAGGGTTTTCCTCCTGCAGTCAAGTGAGACCCAGCACCGAGGGGTTTTATGTTGTTAACGGGCTGCTGCTCACCCAATAACTGTATTCTCTTCCTCCCTGCTCCTTTACCAGCACTGGCCTTTATTGCACACTAGCAGCATGTTTAGTGACCCTGTTGCTCTCATTCGGCTTCTTACTTACTTTACACTCCTTCTCCCTTGAAGCACATGGGAGTTTCTCCAACAGCCACTGTTGCAAGTCACTGTTAGCTCTTTAAGTGGCATCCAAAGTGAAGTGCAAAGTGTACCAAAACATACTATTGAAGCTGCAAGCACTCATAGTATGCTGAAATTGCACTTGAGTGTAAGTGAAATAGCTGGTGTAAAATATTATGAGGAGGAAAAGTAACGTCACTTCCAAAACAAATTTGCAAGGGGTTTATATTTTGAATCTTTGAATCCTTTCTGTCTCTTAAGAAGACATTTTAAACACTTAAATTATGCAGCTGATATTTCCCACTGTAAATCAATGTATGACCTTACAGTGTTAAATTTGGGCACTTGCTGTAACCTAAGAACCCAACATTCATGTGATTACTGTAGATTGCTCCAAAACTGAAATCATGGTCACCTGTAATCTTTGTAATCAGGCCGCCCTTTAAAAGTTCTGAGATGTACATGAGGCCCAAACGCAACTTACTTTGAAAGAAACCAATAGATCAAAATTCATTCAAACCAGGTAGCCAATAAAGAATCATAATTGGAGTATTTGAAGGACGTGTTCTTTTGTTCTTTTTTTTTTTTTTGTTTAGGTATTTTGTAACTTGTCTGTGAAGAAAATCAAAAGCAAGCGTTAAAAGACACACAATAGGCCAATATTTTATGCTGTTTTACCTATTTGAATACACAAATGTCACTTTGAGTCTATGTCAAGTTTATATGTAAAGCCCTTAACCACAGTGAGCGTGTCAGAGCTTCACTGGTTCGCATTATACAAGGAACAAGGACACCTGATGAGGCCAAAAACGTACACAGAAAAACACATACAAAATGGAAGAAAACTTGGAAAGAATAAAATATAGGTAGAGGCACTAAATGGATATTATGACAAAACGACAAATCACTAATAGAGTTACACAGTGCAGCAGGTCAGAAAATGGTATAAAGCAGGGAACCACTAAAGCAAAAAGGGGAGGTCACAATATTACACAAGCGGTGTAATGTTAATAAACTGCATATTATGTCAATTTCTGCCAGTGTGTTAGATGTGAAAATGTCCAACCTTTGATGCCTCCCAGTTGTAGTATCAAAAAACTCTGTGGCAATATTAAGCTACAAGCAATACCTCAATCCAAATTTCGACACCTGTCACTCAAATATACAATATGTTATAAGTAAAGGAGGAAAGGTGTAGCTCAGATATCTATAAAGTGCAAAAAGGCATGTCTGTCACAAGATTAAATTAGGATTGTTAAAGACTTTGGGATTTCCACAGCTTCTACCATTAAACCTAAATCTTTCTGACATTACCGTGTCATCACAATTTGATAGACTCTATCCACATAGTGTTCTAGCTCTCTTAAAGTGCTAATCCAACAGTTTCTGTTAGTAGTACAGAAAACCTGAAGCCACCTTACTGTTTAAACTTTCCAGAGGTCTAACTGCAAGCATTCATACATACCAGATTAAATACATGTTAGTGTTTTAGCATTTAGTGTTTAAGCTACTTTTGAAATGGCATATTTTAAAGGACTGGGTACAGCAGAATAAATTAGTTTACAATATGCTTTACTCTGTTAGTTCCAACAAATTGTTACTCTATCAATTTTTTTTTTCTTTTTGACAACCATCTAGAGTGGTGTATGTGCAGAGTTTGTTTTCACATTCATCTGCTGAAGGGAGGAAGTTTGTTTGTGTTCACCTTAAATCAATTTTAAGTGTGATGTGGAAACTTGAGGCCTGTAGTACACATCCACCAAGAATGGATATTGGATGGATTGCAATACTGCACTATCCTTTGTTGTACTACATTACACTATACATATATAATGCCTGAGTACCCTTTGTCCACTGCTTAACCATTATGTTTCACTTAATGATAATTAAGTCATTGTCATTAAGGGGTGCATCTTAGAATAAAGTATTGTCGGTTAATAGGTTTTAAAAACATTATTTATTACAAGTTATACATTTTTCGCATGTATCATCAATTATTCTGTGCTGGAGCTAGTTTATTTCAGATTTCATATTGTGTGGTGTGATTACTGGCACTGTGCAAATGCAGGGTGTCTCATCCGGTGCTCACGTGGAGTTCTTTAACTCACCGGCTTTAACAGGAATGATTCCTGTCAGGCTGTGTCTCGCAGCTTCCTACGAGCCTGCTCCATTCGTTCAGACCAGAAACACTGATTCATAAGCCTCATCAGTAAACAAGGCCCGGTGACTCAGCGGGAGGAAAACACTTTCTGCCTGTCACATTTGAAAGTCAATGAGCTCCAGTGTTCTTTGATACATTGCACCAGCTAGCCACAAAAAAGGGAAACATAGTGTACATTCAGACAATCACACCAGTCTTTCTTTTAATCTTTATTTTGAAATATTTTTAACAGATATGTTTTTAATGAGTTGTTGACACTGATGATCCCAAACATCTGCTGGACTCTCACAGTTCATGATGAGATAAAACCAATTAGGCAGTACCACCCCCGAGCTGGAGTTTTGTGGCTCTCAAGCATGTGTGAAACTCATCAGCTCAAGATTCATCTACCAGCTGACTTCCCAATGGATCATTTCTCCCCACCTTTGTCTGCGCATTGGTCTGTACAGCCGTTTGTATTGTCAAGGTTGTCTTTAAAAGAATGGAATCGTTGATAGATTAAAAACATATCGTACGTCAGCACAGTTTGAATACTGATCCAGATCACCTGAAGGCCTTAATTTGCATTTTTAAATTTGCCTCAGGCTGCGTTCTGAGGGGCCACATGGCCCTGTCTGCCTTGTATTTTAATTACTTGATACACTTTTCTTTAAGTCCAGAAAATAGATGATTTTCTAAACTAACAACTGTGAAAAGATTTGTGCAGAAACTTTGAACAACATCTACCTTACTTTTATGTGACAGACAACTTCTGTACCCTTAGGGAAGACATTACAAGCAGCGGGAACTTTTATTATCTCTTAAATGTAACTTTGGGATTTAATTTGCAGTGATTTCAAAGTAAGAATTCCTTCGCTTGAAACATAAAGAATAACTGGTGTACATTCAGCAATACAATGACAATAAAGGTGACTTATGACTGTTAACATAAAAAGGTATTCATGGTGCTACTCCCTTTTAATACAGTTTTTTGTGAAAACTGTACAGATTTTAGTACCCACGTTGTGCTGCTTGTTCAATAAATGTTAATCATAGAATTCAGGCCTTTTCTAAATAATATGAAGTACATAAAACTCCTAAAAGCAACCAACAATTAAGAATACGAAAACAGGACGCAAATATGTAGTTTACTTTTTAAAAAGTAATTTTCTAAAGCATGTGGTCTTTAGGAAATGTTGCTCAAACAGAATTTGTGTATTTGTTTGAGACTTTTTCAGTTGCAAATTTGATAAACTATTAAAAATGAGCTATAGGCCGCACAGACAATATATGTTTGTAGGATTAACGATACCATTACAAACACATAGATCATTACCAGCCCCATAGTTAATCTTTTTTATATTACTAGATTCCTGTCTACTATGGTTTGATCCAGTTAGTATTTGTGATTGGAAAAATGTAGCTGCTATTTAGAATCAGTTAGAAACTCCTTGTGCAAAAAAAATGCATTAAAATTCATGTGACATTTCAACAGTGTACTTCATGCTAAGTACCTGAAACAAAACCCAGCCAATACGATTCAATGGCAGATGCAGAATGCTAAAAAAGTCAACACTAACACATCTTCTTCGTCAAGAAGGTGACATGTTGAGGCATAAAATTGAAAAAAAAAAAAAGACTGAATCTGAGAGTGAGTGTGTGGCTTTCTTCTCTTTTCTTTGATGTGTACCTGCGAGCCAGCACCTCATTAGAATAGGTGTGCGATTTCCTACATGGCTCTATGTAGTGAATCAAAACTGAGACAAGAAAACAGCAACAGCAGTTTAGTACTGCAAATGTTGACATGGTCTACGTGCAAGGGAAGTAATAGCGGCTACATTTTGTCACCTGTGCCACCTGAAAGAAATAAGTGTTAGAGCTGCAGCTTGTTCTGTTTTCTAACCACCTTTGTGTGTCCAGTAAAACTGAAACATGGCTGATGCAAAGTCCTAACATGTACCATCGCATAAAAGGCTAAAAACAGCACCTCGTCTGTCTCCTTGGCTGCCCCCCCCCCTTCTGTCACTACACATTTCCTTTCTTCACCTTCTCATAACACCTTATTTCATTAAGTGTAACTAGCCTTCGCTTTTATCAACAGCCACAAATTACTTATTTTTTCAGCACCTTTTAATAACCCCAACAGGTTTTTCAGTCCATTCCTGGGCAATTAGAGAAGCATGGGAGGTCTCTAACCAAGCAGCACTGCCAGTGGCTTCATATCAGTGCAGCCCTGCCACTTCAACAGGGAAAATGTCACTTTTGATATTTCCCCCTGGTCATTGTCAGGGTGGGGAGTCTAACCCGGCTAATGAAGTAAAAAGGGAAAACTGTGGGAGGGAAAATGGTCTCTGGTCAAAGTCTGTGTACCCAACAACCCTGCCTGATGCTGTTCATTTATTTGTTTTATTTTCTTTGTGTGTATATTATTTCCTTCCTCCTGTTTTTGTGCGCTGCCATTTATTGTGTTATCAGTTTGAGTTTATACATCAAACTTAGCCTTTTTTGTATCCTCACCAATTTCTCCTTGGAGATATTATAGAATGCACAGGCACATTTATTTTTCAGGATAGCTCTCTACATAACAGTGACAGCATAAGTACAGCACCAGCATGTGTTACTCATTAGACAGTTAATCATTTCTAACAGCCATGTGCTCCCTAGCATTGTCAGTATTTCATGTCATAGTGTGTAGCCTGTGAGTAGACATAAAAGAGATTAAAGGGTCCCCAACAAGATCTCTGATCAGTTCAGTCTGTGTGAGACCAGCTGATGTGTTGCAGTCTCATCGGGGTGTGTACAGTATTTAATGGACTGCAATTGCTAATTCATCAAAAAGTCTACAGCAGACATTTAACTCACACACACATAGTGACACACAATGAGCTGTTGGTCATATATCAGACAGCGATACCATCACTTCACAGCAACTTTACTTTATCTTCATGGCTTTTATACTCATTTGTTTCCCCCCTGTGTTTGTCATGTATTTGTCCTTTCATCCAGATGCTCCCACCACTACCCCTATACCCACCACAGCCACCACCACCACCACCACCGTCACCACCATCTCCTACGCTGAAGGCAATCAAGGTACAGTATCAGCCTCACACAACCTGTTTATCTGTGTGTGTGTGTGTGTGTATGTGCTCCCTTATCCCCCCCCACAGCCTTGAATCACTCCATGTATCTTCATCATCATGCCACAGTAGCAGTCATATTCATGTGCATGTTCCTTGTGCCAATGGGTTAGGGTCACCCAGTTCCTGTCATCAGTTGTCAATTTTTAGAAACTTTGTACCATCTATTATTACACATTAAAGGTACACATTAATGGTTTAGGCCATAACATGTATTCACATTGTAAATTCATTAAAATAGAAAGTTTCAAATAAACCCAGAACCAAACGGGGGAAGATTGGTCAGCTTTTTTAAAAAACAAAAGTGAGATGAGAGGATTAATATAATTGCCATATGTGCGCATTATATTTTCCCCCATTTCCAGTCTTTACTGTATGCTAAACTAAGATAACCACATTGTGACTCCAGCTCCATTCCTAATGCTCAGATGTGAGATGGATATCAATGATTCTCAACTCGCTCTGGGAATCCATATAAACATGTTTACCAAAATTTTAACTAATCTTTTAAGTATAAAGGAAATATTAACCATTTTCTTTGCAAAACAGTGATGGTTTTGCTTCTGTGGTATCATGTAAAAAAAAAAAAAAAAACATTTTATGATGTGGATGTGAGAATGTCAGTTTCTACGATGAATAATTGTCAGTTTTCAAATATTCTGACTTTTAAACATTTTTGTTCGGCACAGCGTTTGTAAGGTTGAAATTTGGCATTAACATTGCACAAATAAAATGCACAAAGATTCTATAAAATACTGGTTAACATGGAAACATGACAGTTAAAAATAGACTTGATAGATGGAATGTATACAACCTCAACATGAATGTATCACAGTCACGAATTATGAGTAATTACAGTGTTCAAATGCACAAAGTGATGTGCCCCCGCAAGTTTTTGTACTTTTCAAATGTGTGTGTGGGTGTGTACGGGGGTTGAGATTGAGAGGACAAATTGTCGGCCAAGGCCTAGCTCGTGTTGCTTAGTTGTCAGTGTAACCTCTCAGAGCAACCTGCTGGCTGTCAATAATGTTCACTCACTGCTTTGTTCCCAAAATCCTTTCACAGCTGGGTTTCAAAACAGGCTTGGTGCTCAAACACATGTTGTGAAAAGATTTGGTTTTCCCCACCAAACTGCTACTATGATATCACCTGAACAAGCATGATGGGGAGAGCTAAAGCAAACAGGATGATGAAACATGGATACTGGATTCACTGTGATGATTGTTTGATGGTTATCTAACTTTTACTCACTGCAAACACAAGAATAGCATTTTATATAAAAAAAACACATCTCTCATTCATAAGGTCAATTATGGATCATACTCTAGGTGGGTAGTGGGAAGAGAGTAGCAATGGAGATGAACAATAAATAAACACGGGCACTTGAAAACCAGGGCCTTTTGAAATAAGCAAATTTTCACTCACTCTTCATAAACAGAACTGGGGGCTATTGTCAGTGTAAATCTCCAAAGGGCGCAGATAGAAAACATCACTTTATGCCTCAACGAAATCAGCCTGAGCTCCAAATGCAATCAAAGCCTCTCTGACAGACCGCTCAATTGGAACAAATCTCACGAGGCTGGCAGGAATCACAGGCATTGTGCTTGATTATGCCATCTGATTGGATTAAAGAGAATACCTATCTATGTAGGCTGATTGATAGCTCCTTTGCCTCATATCAAGAAGTCTGCAAAGACCTGTTCTGATTATAGCTATGCTGACTGATTCATACTCAGATCTCTGCTGATTATTTCAATGTGCCTGCTGAGAATAATAGTTACTTCGTAAATAGTAGATAGATAAATAATAATACCAAAGATATATATTTTATATATATTTTATGAAGAATAGTTGCACAAAATTAGTGAATTAGTCAGTTATTAGTCATCAAGTGGGGGTATATAACTTTTAACTTAAAAGGAGAATCACAAAAAAAAGTTACAAAAGAAAGTTTGAATTCATAAGCAATATAATGTGCTTTTGCTTAATTTGACTCACTCATAGGTTTTGCTGCTACAGACTTACTTGTTCCGGTATGACCAGTAGCTGATGTAATCTAATGGATAATGATGGTCCAGCTTGAATAATTATAATGTTTATGTAATGTATGTATGCTGTTGTTTAAAATGTTGGTTAGTTAAAAGGTTGCCTAATGAGGATGTATTGGATAATGTTGGAAATGAAGGCAGAATCAATGTACCATTATCATGTGATGTCCATCAGTGGTCACAGTTGCCACTGTTAAGAAAAAACTTTCATATGTCTCCCTTTAACTTCTGTAACAAAACAGATTCACAAAATGCCATTTAGTAGCATTTGTCAGTTTCTAATTTTCTGTGAAGCGCATGCAAATCTCCATTCATTCAACCTAATATTCTATCACTGCCTCCATTTTTCATGACAAAGAAAGAAATTGAAAGTAAAATACTGAGATCATCGCAACACAAAATCAAACAGAGAATTATAGGGTATTAATGATGTCATAAAACTTGCTTCTAATTTATGTAGTTTTCTCCATCAATTATTATCATTGCCGATTGAAATGATGGCCAAAATCATGTAAATAAGACCTGAGTTTTAATAAACATGAATTTTCCGTTAACTCTTGCTAGCTCTGATTTAAGTGTTAATGGCATGAGCATGAAAGTTCATTAAATTATTTTTAAAAATAATGTACTCTGTAAAATGCTAATACACTAGAGTAATACAGTGCTGAATATGAAATATAGCTTACTGTAGTTCAAACTATAACAGTATTGTGCTGTCTACAAATAAAGTAACGTTAATAGTTAAAATAGGCTACTAAGACATATAGCTTTGCGTGTTTTAAGTGCATTTCTACATTTTTAACAGGTCTGAAAATAAACTCTAGGCTGTCAATGTTGAACTGTAAACATATTAATAAAATATTCTAATATTCTAATTGTGGCCACCTCCATACTTCATGACAAAGTCTAGTATGACTAAAATAATTTCACAGAAGCAAAATACAAAGAAAATCACATTCCTCAAAGAGCTTTAACTGAAGTAAATGAGAATTATAGTCATTGACAATATCTGTGGATACTAAAAATCACTGTACAGTATGTTGGCAAGTAAGGCAAGTAATTTCAGTCCCCTGTGAACGGGACTTGAGATGTGTGGGCTCGACCTGATAAAGCAAAGCTCAGGTCTGCAGTTCCAATATTTTCCTGTTAAAACAACCCACTTACAGTTTCTGCCATATGTCCTGTCTTCTCAACTATCAGGGGTATTTCATTATTACTGTGTATATAGATTGAAGGCAGCAGACTCATATGACCATAATACACTCTGCCAGTTGATTTCATTTACCCACAGTGTGCCGCACAGATCAGAGACCCACTGCCAAATGAATCTATCAGAGTGGGATTGAGTTTTTTTTTTTATCAGTTACCCATTAGAGGGATAGAATAGAGCACTTTAAAAAATCTATTAGAGTCCCAACACATGGCTCTTAAGTGCTTGGCAAGGTTTAGAAAGTGGCATGGGGAAATGACAAAATTACTACTTTCACTACTATATAAAATTCTAAATGGCGATATCTTGCTGACCAGCTCCTACAATTAGCCATTTTACTATATTCATTATTAAAAAATATTAATTCTCCAAACACCTTTCAGGAACTGAATTTTCTGCTTGTCATTTTCCTCTGTTTCTTCTCTGTGAGCTTGGTTATCCATATTCTTTTTTCTGCCATTTCAATGTCAGTGGGAACGAAAGATTTTCCTTGAAAAGCAACGTTATGTGCTTCACACACTCCTCTGGGGCAGTCTATTATCTTTTTAGTGGTAGTCAGGGCCAACAGGAGGTCTTTTTGTAAAAACACAAGCCCACCCCAAAAGTACAAATGCACTGCTGTCTTTGAAGGGATTCAACATTCCTCCTCCCACATATACTTTCTCTCTCATCACCTCACCTCTCTCTCCCCCATCAACACAATATTCCTTAAATGAACATGCCACAGACTGAACAATGCCACTTAATCCCTGTATGAAGAAAACGGATAATAAATGTGTACCTTGTGCAAATAAAACAATTAGGCAGCAGGCTAGCATTACTTTTAATTGATGAAATACCATAAACGGTGCTGACAGCCAATTCATTTAACCCCCACTATAAAACAGGCAAGGAAGGGAAGGGAAACAAATATCCATTATGTTTGTCGGGGTGTTAAATTACATAAACAACATCTGGTAAAGTGACTTAAGAATGTTATGAATTTAGATGTACCTCAATGTTACATTCTCTAGACTAACGCATGCACAGTGTGCCAGATAATGTGATATTTTTCCCACTTTGCTCATTTTGTCCATTTTAAAATTGGAGCAGCCAGCTTTAACTAATTTAAGTTTGATAGCAACACAATAACTGTCATCATGCGACATACAACCCTAAGAGAGCATCAGTGATAGCATAGCACTCAACATCATGGAAAGGCGTATTCTGGAGCCAAACACATCTTTTTAATGTGGAGGTATATTTTCTTCTAAAGGTATTACTGCGCTCCACAATGACCATAAGGAGATGAAAGTCATAAAGAAAGGGCAAGGAGGTAATAATCTAGCTACACACTATCTGAAAAGTACCACCAGTAAATACATATTTGCAATAATTCAATTCAGTATTTACACATATACTCATATTTAGACTATATTACAGACTGAAAGGAGTGTGTTAAAATGTGTACACATAAATCCTGTATTTGACACTTTGTATTATTGTAATAACACTTTGATGTCATAGGTGCACACCCCCCAACACTCTATACACTCTACAACACTATATCTGATTTTGTCATAAAGTGTGAAATTGTTTTTATTATCTTAAAAACGATGTACGGGGGTAAAACACAAATCTACAGAAAAATGGTGCTATGAGGTAAATACCTAACAAATGTAATATTTGACCTGATGATTGTTAAAGTCAGAGGAT